TATTTAAAAAAAAAAAAAACATAAACACAAAGTATTAATATGAATTTTCATCAAATTATATGACTGATCAACTCGTCTAACTAAACCGTGTTACACAAATATTTGGGTTAAATTCATGTCTTACACATTGTTAAATTTATTCTTCTTCACCCAAGAGCGTTTCGATGAGATGGCTTGGGTCTCTTCCAGTTTAACCAGTGGTCTCGTGTTCGAGCCCTGGGAATGCAGCAGTGTTAAAACTCTTGAGGGAAAGCTTTGCCGCCCTTGTGGTCCTACCCGGCTCGATTCCGAATTAGTCGGTTCCCCTGAGAATCCAAAAACCAGAAGGTCCTTGTACCAAAAAAAAAAAAAAAAAAATTATTCTTCATCCACTTTTTTGTTATTTGACTAATGAATGCATTATTAGCACTCTTCCTTCGTTTATGGAGACCATAATTATTACACAACAAATATTCTACACCATATGTTATTTAGCATTGACTACTTAATTTTTTTTTTCTCAACATCGACTATATTGTTATCATTTTTTGATAATATTCAATTAATTAAGGGGGTGTCTATATGTACACCCCCTCAAGTGTAAAAAAGGAGTGTACATATAGCACTTTTCTTTGTGTAATTTATTAAAAGGGGGTGTACATATAGCATTGCCCTTAATTAATTACGTCGAGAGCTTTTTCATTCGATAATTATTATTTTCAGGCACACGAGTGCCAATTGTTCTTTACTCGGATCTCCTAATTTCTTGACAATTTTATTTTTTATTGACATTGGAAAATACTTTGTCCAGCTTTTTAAAGACTGTGTGTATCAAATTCAAAAGCATGCATCAAAGATTTGTATCAAGATCCATTCAAGGTCCTCACCACGATACGAATAAGTAGTACTCCTTATTTTTATTATTGTTATTTTGGCTTAATGGATCATTGATTAAATAAACGTCGTTTTGGCTATTTTGTTCATATTTTTCCAATTTTAACCCTCCATCAACGCACAGTTTCTCTTCATATTTCATCTCCATAGATTCTCATAACATGTAGTATTAAATAAGGTTAATATTGACAAGAAAAAAAAATTCTTAATTAGCGTGTTGCTTCTCGGAACAACAAATAATAAAAATAGGAGGGAGTATTAGATTTGTTAGGTATAATTTCAAGAAAAACAGATAAAATATATTTAACATTTATATCATTGAAAAATAAATAAATTAAATCAAGCTGAAGGTTTACCCCCCCTGTTGGGGTCGTTTATGTAGTTTTTCGTTGTGTTTGTGTAGTTGTGTTTGGGTAGTTATGAGTTTGTTTTCTAGCTTTGATAGCTTAGGCTCTAGGCGATCTTCGGATCTGTCATTTCAGTCTTATTCAGTTT